ACCCAAATTTCTTCGATATCATTGAGAAGCTTATGATTTCTACTTTTAATTTCTAATTTTATACAAAAAGTTGAGATATATTTTTTTTAAATATCGTAATATTTTTAATTAATATTGTATAGCCTTCCATAAAAGCCCAAGTTACACATAAATTTTTAAGAGATTTGTTTTCAAACAATGGCGTGGCAGTACAGCTTCAAATTTAAAGAGAAGATTTAGTTCATATTCAAGTATAATTTCTCCAAGTTTGGTTGATGCTTAAGTTATTTTAATTCCGTAATAAGCCATCTTGACGGATGAATTGCGTTTTTACTTGTAATATGATTAGTCTGTATCAACTCGAGATATAACCTAAAAATTACTGTGGATATTTTCTGATACTTTTAAATTAAAGATTATTCTGTTAGAGTATCTGTCATACAAGTAACCTGTACCTTACATAACTAAAAATGATAACTAAAATGGCTCTGCTAATTTTTATAAAAATTTGGGCTCTAAGTAGAACACTTTTGCAAGAACTTTTACCTAACTGAGTACGTGTCTGTAAAATAAGTTATACCTTACAACTCTTTTAATGATTTTGATAAACTTATGCAAATAACTTTCTATCTCATATCTATAAGTAATGAGTTCCATTTGTTTCATTAATTTTACAGTGTGTACTCAGTATTATTTTCACCACGAAGATTTCAAAAAAGTGTTGTAAACTGTATTCTTGTCAAATATAAAAATGTATGCAACTGTTAATTGAAATGCTGTTAGTTATAAAAATTGAAAATACAAACGTACATTACTTTTTTTTTATAAAGAATATAAATTCGATCGCTGATGGTACGGAAATTCTAAGATAACATAGAAGAACCATTACTTTGCTGATAATAGTGGATTATGATAAATTTTCATTGCTAGGAAAATATCACGGAGAAATTGTGGACAAAGTTATGGTAAAAATTTGTAATTTAGGTGTCACCTTGATTAGAAAAATTATATAACGTTTTCCTTTATACATCCACGTGAAAGTTTTTGAATATTTTGGGCCTCTTCTTATGCACGCTAACTATTTATTAGAAGGAACTTTACGTGCTAGCATAACGCTATCATTTTGTTTGTTGTTAAGATAAATTTTATTTCACTATAGCGCTATAAGCCTGGATCTTCCTAAGGACACTACGAAAGATACTGCCCACCCCACCGACGCATGATTTTTCAAAATTCTTATCATATTTTGTAGAATTTTTTACTTGTTTCTACATATAAATTATGAAAATTTCTGTAGGATCGTCCTTAATATGATTTTGCATTAAGATCATATTTTGCTGGTACTCTTTTATGTTTAACATTTAGTTAAATTATTCTTTTGACAGTTTGCAGAAAAGTGGATTACATAGGCCAGTGTATTGTTGACTAGAATTTTATCTCTCAGAGTACAATAACAAAACGCTTTTAGGTGAAAAAAAGTTATCATATTATAAATACTTTTCTGCACTTTATACAAATGATTCGTAAGAACCTAGAATTTTCTAGCTTGGTGCAAACAAAAGTTTTTATTCAGACCTATGATAAATCTTACTCTTACATAAAAGCTATTAGTTCAACTTACACAACAAGTATTTCAATTTATTTCTAACTTAACAAAATCCCATAAATTTTGTTCTAATGTAGTTGGTACTGGAAAAAAGTATATGTATGTACTTACAAATGTTGAAGTATCAATTTAAAGAAGTGCAAACCATATAAAACAGTTATAAATACAAGAAGACCTTTAAATCGTTATTGTGTAGTTAAGCTGATATTTTTATCAAACTTGTTTTGCTACAGAGAAAGTGTCTTATATGACGAACACGAAAAAAAATTCATCACATACAGAACATCATAATTTGGCGTATATAAAGTTTTAGCTAAGCAATTAGTGCAATCTGAGCTGATTTCATAGTAATTGTTAAACTTTGTTTCTATGTTATTGTTATAAACTAAAATTATTATATTTATGAGTAATAGCTAAGGTATTAGGACATAAACTTAGGCTCTGTACAAACTTAAATGATTCTTCATAAGATACTTATTGACTTAAACCTGGCTCTAAATGACCTGTATTTTAGTACTATGTAATTTTAAAATTTTTTAAATTTTATTAAAACTTGCTGCGCTATAAAATCCATAAGAATTTTAATTATGATTGGACTTTCAGTTGAAAAAATTTTATGGTTAAAAAAGAACAGAAAATCTTGTTTTCTTGCAGAAAAGATACTTTTCTAGTGTAAATTATTATTACTGAACAAAAATTACCTTCTGAGTAAAAGTACTTTTTTCTTCTTGAATCAGTACCTCAATGTCTGTTTTTTATATCAAGTACCTTCATTCACATAATTTGTACAATTTATTTTTTTTCTATAGTGTTCTTTTAAATTATGCCTTAAAAAATAGAAATACGTTTGTAAGTTGTATTCTTGATAATAAACCCGTGTGTACATGTACTTCACATAAATCCACAGGCCTGCTGGTAAAACAAGAGGCGTGTGATGATGGCTATGAAACAAGCCCAGATCTAGAAATACGCAGCTATGGTGGTAACATTAGCAGTCTGCAGTATCATACACCGCTGACACCACACACGCCTCATATGCCCCACACTCCTAAGACGCCGCTGACACCCATCTCTGCTGCACTGCACCAGCCTCAGCAACCCAGCTCGTCAGCTACAACTCTTGGGCAGGTAAGTATTTTAATATACTCATATTTTTTGATCCCTTAATAAGACCAGTTTTATCAGTTTTCTAACTCTCCAGTTAGAAGCTTATCTTAATCAGCCATAATTCAAATCATTCTAAGCTTATCATGCACCTGTAAAAAAATTGTATTGTCTATGTCGTATATCTACATCTATGAGTCAGTCACTTCTATAGAATTATTTGCAAAACAAAACAATATTTGTTTTCTTTATTTATAGACTAAAAAGTTTGACGACTCTCAAGTAACTTAACTTTTTAAAATTAATAAAAGTTGACGCTAGTTGTTCTATTTTATTATTCACTTTTATTTTTTTTTATCTAGTCTGATACAAAAAGACTTCTGTAATAATATTTTTGTAGAGCACTGCAATAAAGATTTTTATAATAATATTTATACAATTTAACTGTCCAGATTGTTGTCAAAAAAGTTTATCATAATTCTCATAAAATGTTGAGTCAAAAACTCACATAATATCGACGGCTCTTACGAAAAACAACGGAACTCTGATTTTCCCGTTTAAAATAACATCGGAATTTGTGACTTCCGTTGTTTTTCGTAAGAGCCGTCGATATGTAATCACTCAGAACTAAATTTAATAAATACTGAGACGCGTATTATTCTTCCAAAACCATGTGTATGTATAAATGTATCTCATACTATATTATGTAGTTAGTGTGAGGTGATCAACACAATCGCTTCAACAAATCTTCGCTAGCCCCCCTTCTCCCCCCTCACAAAATAAAGAAAAACTTCGTTTTTTTTCTTCATTGTTCTGGCATTTAATATTTTTTTCCAGACCCCCCACATTTCCACACACTCCATTAACCTCCTACTGCCCAGGGCTCCGATATCGAACTGACAACTCATGCACACTTTTGCGTAAGTGGCTCTCATTAGCCAAGCACTAACGCGTCGTTCCAACTCATCAAACTTAAAGACCCAGCGCGCAAAGCCCAAAAACATCAACCTCAGTACTGGAGCCCCCAGAACCCAGTGCGCTTACTGCCAGCGTACTTATTTATTCGGTAAAATTTAAAAACCCAAGTGGCAAATTTCTAATTATCCAGCCTGCTAACTGCCAGACCCCTTATTTTTTTATTTGAATAAAATCTTAAGCAGCTCATTCCCAATAAACCGGAAAGCTTACAGCCGGTACACTTATTTTTTTATTTAAATAAAATCATGAGCATCTCGTTTCCAATGACCTAGCATGTTTTTTTTCACCCCGCTTATTCTTTTATTTTAATTAATGCCAAGCAGCGAATTCCTAATGATCAAGTGCGGTTACTGCCACTATGCTTATATATTTAATAAAATTAAATCTCGAGCAGCTTATCTCGAATAATCTAAAGCGCTTCGTTATTTAATATAACTACATCCCAAGCAGCTAATCTCTAATGACCTCGTGCGCTTACTGCCAACGCGCTTATTTTTTGAGTTATACCTTTATAGGTGTGTTATTATGCGTGAGGTTAAAACAACGATTTCAGATTTTGACCTTGAGAAAAAATGTGACGGAAGTAGATTTTGCTTGATTCTTCCCCTTCCCCTCGACCCACGTGACTCACTTCCAGTCATAACGCCATCACACAACGCTACTACACCATGCCACATATTTAGAATTTAATCTTTTTTTCTTTTAACCTAAAAAAAATGAAATAAAATAATAGTTCTGAAAGAGATTTAAGCCGCCAATATTCTATACACTAGCCAAGGCCCTTACCCTTACCCTGCTATGAGCAGTATCACTATTGGATATTCAGTTACTGCATTTTATGTTGTGGTTCGTAACTTTTTTTAATTTTTGTTGACTCTATATTAGTTTATTTGGTTAAGTTATAAATTAAATCCATAAACAATTCATTCAATCAAATAATCTTTTTTTATAAATGTCCTTAGAAAACTTAAAAATCAGTTTATTTTAGTAGAGCATCTTTCCTGTATGTAAATAAATATTTAATTACTTATTATTTTATTGTTATAGTTACTTATTATTTATTTGTTACTTTGACACTACATGAATGTTTATTTGTTTAATTTTTCTTTTTTTTCTAAATTTTCAAAAACGGAAAAAATTTGTTTGTACTTTACAAATACAATAATTAATTTTTATTGTGTTTTATTCTTTTACAATTGTACCATTCCTGATAAGGACGTTATTTCCATAGTTACCGTGGTAAAAGTTCAAAGAAGTAAGAGGAGCGCTAATATAAGCAGCTAAGCTGGGAATTGTTTTTTTCATGTGAATGTACATACATGCTCTAACGCATACTTGATTCCCCCTTTATAAATTTACTTAAAATCCAACTTGTAAATCTATTTGAAAATAAAGTAGGTTTATCTATAAGAAATCTTTGATAGAAAAAAAATTAAGAGATTTTTACAGATTGTATAAATGCAATTTTACGTGATTTTTCTGTAAGGAGAGTTGAAAGATTTATTTGATGTGAGTAATACCTATCTAAAAAAACCTATGTGCGATGAGCACCTTCAAGGGACATTCACTAACATGACCTACTTCTTCTCTATTTAAGAATACGGTACTACAGACTGATTTTTCTTAATCTTTTGGATATAATTACATAATAGGTATTAAATATAGACTAGAAATGAGTGTGTGAGCATGAAGTTAGAGATGTACTTAGTGTAGGCAGTAGAAGGTTATCCTGTAATAATCGGAAGATTTAAAAAAAAGGCACAGTCTTGAACTGGCCAGTCGATATATTAGTAATATTCGATTTTGCTTTCATAGATTGTTTATAATCGTTAATTTATTAAATATTAGAATATTAATTGAAACCACACTCGATTAACATAAAGATACTCGTTTTCACGTTAATTTCACCACCTTTATACACAACATTGTTTCATAGAAGGTAATTTTATACTCAAAATCATATGGTTTGTCATATAATTTTATAGAAGTATAACTTTATACTTCAGTACCTAAGCACACACTGTCCACTGGTTTTATTAAAACAATATCTTGAGATCTTTATCACTCATAATCGGATTTGCTTATAAAAAGATATTTATTTACAACACTGTGTCAGTTGCCCAGTTATATGGCTGTATATTTATAGTACAGCAGGTACTACCATTTTCTGTAAGGCCGTATTGACATCACGTAAGGGGTCATGTAGATACAACTTTTATGCATGGATTGAAGGGATTACTTTTGTTGTATATTACTTGCAACTTTTTTATTGCAGTTTTATTGCAGATTTTCATCAGTAAATTTGTTCGTTTTTGTTTAGAAAAGTGTTTAGCACGTTTGAACTGTGAGTAGCTACGTCATATCTTTGTTTTTATTGGTATTTTATTGTTAATAAGTTATAATACTATTAAAACATGGTTTTAGTATCATTCATAGGAAGCTCAATCGATTTGTTTACATTTCACTTAGAAAATTTACAAAAAGGTCTTGCCATTGGTAATTTTTGTTATAATTTGTTTCGTTTTTTTTGCAACTGCGATCTTTCTTTGGTGCATTTATTTCAAACCATGATGGCCCACCGAACAATACCCAATGACTAAACATTAGCGCTAATCCTAGTAAAACGTCTTAGTAAAACATGATAAATGAGGGTCTATGTTTTTAAGAAAGAAATCATGTAGCGGAAATACGAACAAGCTTATTTATCACGCAAATTAACATTAGTTTTCAGTTAGTAAATGATTTAGTTCGATATGTAAAATCAATCGTCCAAGATGTTAAAATTATCAAAACTATGCAAATGATTTTAGATAAGTGTTCTAAGGTTATTTAAATGTTTTATACCCTTACGAGTTTTCGAAGCTTAAAGAAATTTTTAACAATGGATTTATTTCAGTCATAGTAGATGAGAGCACAGACATACGAGTGAGTAACAACAAATTGCTTTGTATTTGTATTAAGTACTTTTTGCATGAAACGAAGTCTGCTGTTCAACATCTTTTGCAATTATTAGAAGCTTATGCAAGATACGGTAATGCTTAGAACTTATTTAACACTTTTAAAAAGTTCTTTTATGACAACTCAATTAGTATGAAAAATATATCAGCTCTTTCTTGCGATGACACCCGAGTAATAATTGGGAAATGAAGGGTCTTAAAACCACCTTTGTGATGCAGTTCCAAACTTAATTCTTTTAAATGATGTTTGCCACACTGCCGCAATAATTGCAAAAAATTGTTGTAATTCAAATCTGAAGAAAACGGGAGATCTTGCTCGGAGCTTTTATTTTTATCTTTTGTATAGTCCAAAACAAACCAAGAACCTTTTTAAAAATACAGAGTATTTAGATTTACATAATAATAAAGCCGTACATTATTTTGGAATAAGATGACTTGAAGCTTACAGATGTTATAATCATTTTTGGAGCATGTGGCTCTTGCTTATAGATATTTTTACAGTATAAGTTTTTTAAAAAACAAGCTTATTGCAATAGAAAGACAAGCCAGAATCGAAAAAAAAAAAAAATAATAATAAATTTATTTCACGATCCTACGGATAAAGCTTACTCACATTTTAAAAACTTGATGTTTATTATTTTAATTCATTTGTTGCAAAATTTAAAAGTTAAATGTTAAAACCGATCAAATTAAAAATTGGTGCAGAGTTTGTAAAAAAATATCTCAACAAATTTTATAAACACACAATCACTTAGAAACATTTTTTGACTTGTTTCAATGTTTACTAAAATCTATTGCCTTTAAATAATATGTTTATGGGACTCACGTGTTCTAAAATTTCAAAAGAAATGACGGTTAAACAAATTGGAAAAGTTTCAATTAGTTGGAAGAAATTTTACGTATTTGCATTTACAGTTATTAGTAAACGTTCACTTCAAAAAAACACATTTTTATGAACCAAGATTTTCTCGATCCCCGGATAGCTTTAGATGAATTGAGCAGAAAACATTTACCAGATTAATATAATTTTATAAAAATATACCTTTTTATTCTTTTATTTCGATTAAATAGCTTTTAAGTGGCGTACCATATGTACACATTTTGACGCGGATAAAAAGAAAACTTAGATTACTCTTTATATGCAACAGTTTTAAAGTAAAAGAATGAATTCGAAAAACAAGGAAGTTAA